CTGGCGAACCTGTAGAACTTGCCGGCGCTGCCGGTCGCCACCGGCGATATCAGGTTCTGGACGACGCCATTGTAGAGAGTGGAGCTGAGGCCGCCCTGGTCGTCGAAGGTGACCGTCGTGTTGCCGCTGGAGCTGTCGGTCTTGGCCTGCCAGTAGGCGTTGTCCGGGCTGTTGCCGCTGAGCAGGTCCACGTAGAGCACGACGTTGCCGTCCGTCTGGACGCCCATGGTGAACCGGCCGGTGGTGAACTCCGTGTCCGCGCGCCTGGAGATGATCTTCCCCTCGGACCGAGTGTCCATGGTCAAGGACTGGCCCGGCAGCAGCGTGTCCGTCGGGTACCCGAAGCTCGCCCACAGCACGTTCTCCGGGCCGCCGCCGCCGTCGCCGAGGAACTGGAGGTCGCCGGAGTCGAGGAGCGCGAGCACGGACCCGCGCTTGAGGCTGGGGATCGGCGCCCTCCACAGCACCCGGTTGCCGCCGTCGGCGGTGTCCGCGAGCGCCAGCTGGCCGTCGGCCGTGACGCTGAGAGCGGACTGCGCCGTGGCGAGGACGGCCGACGAGTACGTGGACGACTGCCTGGAGAACCACACCACGGACTGCAGCTGGGAGGAGCCGCTGGGCCGGCCGTCGTCGTCGGAGCCGGAGCGGAACCATGTGGCGAGGAGGAACTTGCCCGGGCTGGACCTGTCGAGGGCGCGGAAGCCGAACGCGAAGACGCCGGAGGGGCTGGTGATGTAGCTGGGCGGCGTCATGGGGATTCCGGCCGTGAGGTTAGTCCGTGCGGCGGCTACGTGGCCACTTAGCACCGCAAGGAACGCGGCGACGAAGAGAGCGGAGGAGGGCGATGCCATTGTTGGGTGTGGGAGCTCGCCGGGAGCAAGCAGAAGGAGTTTGATCGTAATAAAATACTACTGACTCGGGCCCATTCGTTGACTCCGATTCCTCGTCAAGATGTGCGTGTGGCTCCACACGCACGCCCAAGTCGTGTCGTGTGTTGGACGAGGTCTTGGCCTTGCGTAACAGGTTAACCTCAGCAGCGGAAAGAGAACTTGTTTAATGCACGGGCGTCGCGGTCACAAGATCACACGTGATCACTTATTTGCTCTTAGCCTATGAGCACTGTCTTGGTCCTGGACGAGGTCGTCTCGATGATGCACGGGCACGTACAAAGATCACATCTAAGTTTCTTAGACGGGGTGCCGGTCCGGCGTCGTCACGGTTTTTATTTGAACATAGCATGATTGTAGACGCTCACAGACATGCGCACACACTCACATTTATAAATACACGCACGTACTCTATCTCTAAAGCAACTCCGAGATACTGATCTGGCACAACATTTTAACATCGACAAAGCCACCATGAACGAACATCTCTAGAAACACTGGAATAAACCCAGAAAATGCAGGTAACAACGTCAAGTCTGGCACTTAAACCCTGATAGCTAGACTGACTCCACCACACAGAACCTAACCACCTGAGCTACGACTTGGTCCGCCGCCGTCACGACAGTCGAGTTGAGTATTCTATTAATGATCTCCATTCAACTTTCCACGCAGCCGCTGCATCCTCCTAAAAAAAGCTAGGGTTTGTGACTCTCGCCGGCTCCGTTGCAGGTCCGCCTCGTCTCCACGCGCTTTCGCCTCGTGCCTCGTGGACACCTCCCCTGCGGACTCCACATTGATTCCTTTATGGATCCATGATTCTTTGTATGCTTCTTCTCGCCTGTTCTTCTGTCAGTCGATTTTTCCTCCACCGAAGCCATGAACCAGTGGCCATCGGCGCAGCGATGAGAACGGCCACTGTGATCGTTCTTCCCCGTCTTGCCGTAATGCCCTTCCGACCGCCTGGATGGCCTTTCTCCCTCAACAGAGAGCATCGTGTTGATAACGTATGAAAGAACTAATTGATCGAACTATCTCATTCCATTGATGATTAACACATTTATACAAAGGGAACAATCGTCAAAAGAAGATGCGTCTGTTCGTGAGGATGGGAGGAGCGGACGTGGCGATTGCCTTGAGAGGCCCTCGCATGTACGACGTGACGGTTGCCTGGCGGCAAACCGTACACTAATTACAAGGAAGGATTATCTCTAATTACAAAATTAGTTTAAATCCTAACAGAGTACTCTATGTCTCTATTGATGATCTCCGTTCAAAACAAACAAAAGCAGCTTTGGTCACATGTGGTAGGGTTTTTTTTTGCTTAAGCTAGGATCAGTCAACAAGCTACGCTAGTTGGAAAACATGACCAACAATGCATGCATGTAGGCCCGTAGGGGACCGAAAGTCTTCCATAGATGGAAAGGGAGAAGATTCACAGACCGGCTATCACACGTAAACTGTACCCCCTCTGTCTGCGAATAAGTGTACTTTTACCTTTTGTTCCAAGTCAATATTTTAAAATTTTGACCAACTTTACAAAAAAGAGTAGTAGCATACATGACATCAAATTGGTATATATGAAATTACATTTCAAAGCGAGATATTAATTTAGTATCATAGATACTACTACTTTTTCTTATAAAGTTGATCAAAAATTTAAAATTTTGACTTAGTACAAAAGCTAGATATACACTTATTCGCGGATGGAGGGAGTATCTGTTTACTGTCGAGTTACCTAGAAATCACCACGTTGGTCTTGACCTTTTTATTTGAAAACAAACTCCAACTTTATTCATTTGTAATAAGTAGTATATCGTTTGTGAGGAACATTACAATTTCATTTAAAGGCTCCTCAAACCAATCAAGAGTCAAAAAAAATCTAGCTAATCTAGCAAGCTCATGAGCTACTTTATTTGCTTCTCTATTACAGTGCTCAAATCTAGCAGTAGCGAAATCACATGCATAATGAAAACAGTCTTCGAAGATTGCTGCCGCCGCACCCACCGACTGCCCTCCATCATTTATAGAGTCAATCACCTCCATATTATCCGAATTTACGATAATGCGATTGCATCCCGCCCTTTGCGCCATTGTTAGACCAAATTTGAGAGCTCTAGCCTCCGCCATCAGCACATCCGTGCAAAAATCTATTCTCTCATTCCCTCCAACAATAAACCTGCCTCTGTCATCTCTAAGCACTGCTCCCATTGTCCCCCTAAGAAGGTCGTGATCGAAGGAAACATCAACGTTGAGTTTAACAAAACCTCTTGGAGGGCAAGCATTGGTCTTGACCTTGCCTTGCATAACAAGCTAATCTCAGCCATGGAATGAACTTGTTTATATTAATACTTTGCTGGAGGGTGGACGATCTGCACAGGGGGCATCTGCACCCGCTTTTCAAAAATGTACTTTTTACGCATTATAGTTTTGTAATGTTAAAAAATTCTAAAAAAAATTATGCATACATGTTGGCAAAGGTATGTCCACGGCACAAAGTTTTGTGTAAAAAATATTTTTGTTTTGCCTTAGTAAAAAAACACAAATTTTACTGCTTCTAAATAGCGTTTCATGGCATAAAATTTTATCTTTTTTGCACAGGCTATAAAAAAAGTTGTTTTTCTGTGAAACTTTCTGCACACATATAGAATGTGGAGATGTCCGCGTGCACCTTTTTTCGGAATTTTTTGACATTACAAAATGTGTTTTCCAAAGTGGGTTCATATGTACCCGGGTTCATTCATGCACTTCTCCACTTTGCTGCGACATGTCTCTCTTTCAGGTCACTTCGATCGTAGGACCCTGATCAACGGTAATGCTTACAATGTGCTCAAACAAGGCCTCGCTCTTGCTTTCCTCTCCTTTATCTTCACTAGTGAGCTTGTGGATTCATCTTCCTTTTGTTTGTCGTGACCGATGGTGGAGAGGGCTGGGTAGTACTCCATCCGTTCCTAAATATTTGTCTTTTTAAAATTTTAAATGGACTATCACATACAGATGTATATAGACATATTTTAGAGTATAGATTCACTCATTTTGCTCCGTATGTAGTTATTTGTTGAAATGTCTAGAAAGACAAACATTTAGGAACGGAGGGAGTAGATAGGTAGGGTATTAGACAGGGACATCATTAGGATAAATGGCGACACTTGTCTTTCAAATCAGTTTTCCGGACTTTGATCCTCCTCTGTTCGTCCGTTGAGACAGGTTAGATGAAACTCCAGCATAGATCCCTGTCAGCTCCTCGGGGCCGTGAGGTTAGGGTTTTTCGCCGAGTGTACACAACAATGATAGTTGGTGTCATGTTCTTCAGATCGGTTTAGGGATTCAACGTCGGTGACTGCGGCTTCGGGACGCTGGTCCTTAGAGGCATGTGCACAAAGACTTCCTGGTTGTCATTGAAAGGTCAAGGCGGCTTCGATATGAGAGCAACGACATATCAATATTTATTAGGATTTCAGACCAGTTAAGAGTTAGCTAGTTTATTCCGCAAAAGCTTAGTGGGGAACAAAATAGAGTCGTCGTGGTAAATTATAGTCGAACCGAGTGCACCATTGCTGTATGGTTGCACCAAGGACCACCATGTATTGAGGATGCCTCTCGGCTGTAACTCCATACCTATGGAATAAAACTCTTTTCACCGAAATAAAAAAAGAGTTAACTACTCCCTTCGTTTCTAAATATAAGTCTTTTTAAAGATTTTAAATGGACTACCACATACGGATGCATATAGACATATTTTATAGTGTAGATTCACTCATTTTGCTCCGTATGTAGTCATTTGTTGAAATCTCTAGAAAGACCTATATTTAAGAACGGAGGGAGTAGTTAAAAGCCTTAATCAATGAAGTTGGCTTCTAAAATAAGCTATATGTTGTAGGGGCGGCTTATGGCATAAGCCGTCAAGAACTGTGCCAAATCGTATAGGGTCCTATTTAGTTTTTTTAGCAACTGGGCCCTATTTAGGTGCCTCGCTGGAGGTGCTCTTGGGCTCGACGGGCCAAGCCTTGGGCCTTGCTTTACTAGCCCAGCTTTGCCCTTCACTCTCGCCACTGCCTTTTTTGTCAAAAAAAAAAAGAACTCACCACTGGTTTTCCTCCTCGTCTCGCTCAAACCATGCCTCCGCCAGCGCCTTCCCGCCTCCTGGCCGTCCTCTCCGCCCGCCCCCCTCCGCCGCTCCGCCGCCTCCTTCAGCTCCACGCGCACCTCCTCACCGCCGGCCTTCTC